AGCATGGGGACGACAAGCAGGCCGCTGTGCAGATCGTCCACTGTCATCCCACCGTACAATGCCACTGAGGAGGACGCCCCTCATGGAGTGCGCTCTGATGCCATTCGGGGGAGACTCCCCGGCAGACACGTAAGCCTGGGAAATGGCATCGCACAGCCAGTGAGACAGGTGCTGCACCAACGGGAGGTCCCTCGGACTGCTCCCTGTAGTGCACAAACAGACACTGCGAACGGCGCCAGGCGGCCGTGCGCGCCACATAGCAGGACAGTGCTCGCACCGGGCAGAGGAGGTGGGACGTGGCGTCCTCTGCCGACCCATGGGGGGGAAGGAAAAAAGCCAGAGAGGGTGATGACCCACGACCGAAAGGAGCTTGTAAAGCTTTTAGGCATGAACGTCGGGTTAGGGCGCAGGATAGCCAAGCTGCTGTCACGCTGAGTCGCGCTGAATCCTGAGCCACGACGGAGCCTCTTTGAGAGGGCAGCCAGACCGCTGACCCTCTTGGCCGATGTAAGAGCCAGGAGCAAGGCGATCTTAGCTGAAAGGAATCTCGGGTCCGCCGTCTTCAAAGGCTCATACGGGGCTTGGGTTAACGCATGTACAACCAGCGCCAAATCCCACTGTGGGGCAACAGGTCGCGTCACTGGCCTGCGCCTTCGCACCCCTCTAAGGAAGCGCTTCACCAGGGGGTGGGAGAGCACAGTCCTGTACCCGAAGCACTCGTGACAGGACGAAATGGTAATGGTGGCAGTTTAGGTGGCAGTGTAGGTTTAACAGTACTGAACGCCAGCCCCTGTCCATGAGCAGCTGGAGGAACGAAAGCACCGCCGGGAGCGGACAGGCGACCGGATCCGTCCCCTGGTCCAGACCCAGCGCTGGAAAGCCAACCACTTAGAGAAGTAAGAGGACTGAGTGGAGGCGGCTCTCGACTCTTGGATGGTGCGAACCACCTCACGGGAGAGACCTAATCCCTCCAGGCGTCGCCTGTCAGCGGCCAGACCCAGAGAGGCTGGTCGAGCAGCGGGTAACTCCTGATCGTACACCTTGCCTGAGAGAGAGCGTCCTGGCGGGGCAGCAAGGACGCGCTAATGCGCTCCGGGGCCACCAGAATCACCGGCAAAGATGAAAACTGCAGGCGATCCAGGAGGCGCGGGATCAGCCGCACCGGTGGGAAGGCATACAGCAGCCGGGGAGGCCAAAGGGGGTGAGCGAAGGCATCCACCCCCAGCGGGGGGGCATCCTACGGGCTCTGTGAAAACCAAAGGGCGCACTGAGCGTTCTCCTTGTTGGCAAACAGGCCCTGGCGGTTCATGTAGGCAGCTGCAGCCCTGTTGTTGGTGCGTTTAGATGGAGAGGCCTGCGGCCCTGCCACAGACTGCCCACCACCTGAGAGAGGCAGGTCCCGCCCCAGCCCTTCAGGGAGGCGTCTGTGAAGACCGAGATGTGGGACGTGACCCTGCCCAAGGGGACCCCGACTGAGAGAAAGAGAGGGGGTCCCGCCAGTTGGCCAGATCCAGGGCCACAGACAGGGGAACGGAGACGCGGCGCCGTCTGTCTCACCGGGTCGACACGCAGGTGGATGAACCACCGCTGCAGCCTCCTCATGTGGAGAAGGCCCAGGGGAACCACCACATGAGCCGCCGACATGAGGCCCAGGAGCCTCAGGACCGACAGAGGTGCCACCGCCGCAATATGGTGGAGCAGCTCCATCAGAGCATCCGCGCTCTCCGGAGAGAGGAGTCCAGTACCACGCCAAGGTAGGTGAGTCTCTGGGAGGGGAGAGGAGCACTCTTCTTCCAGTTCACCATGAAGCCCAGGTAAGACAGGTGTGCGACTAGCTGGGCCGTCTGCACCACCGCTTTGTCCCGGGACGGCGCCAGCAGCAGCAGGTCGTCCAGGTAAAATAGGACCCTGATGCCAGACCGCCGCAGCGGCTCCAGGGTCGTCTCGACACACTTGGAAAAAGTGCGCGGGGCCAGGGAGTAACCGAAGGTCAGGCGGTTGTATTGGTACTGGGCGCCCTGGAATGAAAACTGCAGAACTTCCTGTGTCCGGGAATGACGAACACATGAAAGTACGCGTCGTTCAGGTCGATGGAAGAGAGCCAGTCTCCCTGGCGCACACACTCCATCAACTGTTTTACTGTTAACATGCGAAAAGGTCTCACCATAATCGCCGTGTTGAACAGTGACAGGTCCAGGATGGGCCTCGCACCGCCCGTCTTCTTCCTGACCAGGAAGTAGCGGGAGTAGAACATATTATTATTATTCCTGAAGCTCCGCTCCAGAGGGTGGCGTTCCGGAAATCCGGTCCAATTACTAATTACTTGTTAAAAATTGTAATCAGTAATGTAATCCAACTACCAGAAAATAAAAGTAATGTAACCTGATTACTTTTAGTTATTTCAATACCAAATATGCAAATAAAGACAAGATGCGTTGTCACTCAGTGTATTTTTAGAGAAACATACAATTATAAAATGTCCCATTCCCATGAAATCTAAATCGATGTTTAGGATTAATGTTTTTATATGATGCCTTGCACTAGGCCTATAACTCATACAACAGGATCTGGCCCATCAATGACAAAAAAAATTTGTTTTGTAGGTATTATTGAAGACATTTTAGAGTGTGTCATTTCCTGGAAAATTATTTTAAAATGTTGATGAATCATCCTGCAGTGGGGGGCCTGCATTCATTTAGTGTCCAATGAAAAACTTTTTTAATTTTTATGACTGCTGAAAAATAGTGTTTCTAGGACCGGGCACCACAGATTGCTGGACGAAAGCACACCTATTCACTGATTTTACGCAAACTGGATCATGTTTGATAGAAAATATTTCCTGACCCACACAGGGTCTGCATGAATGGGAGGGGGCGTAACCACATTCAACTACTGGCTATACTGGCAATCAATATCTGCGACAAACCCCTCACTAGCTGTGTGTTTTTACAGGAAACACGTAATTAGCAAATAGCAATCTGCTTTCCGTTTAATGGAAACTTTGTCCTTAAAGTAATCCCTATGTGTAATCCCCATTATTACAAAATGTACGTATAATCTGAATAAGTCTTTATTTATACAGAATACAGTTACTTTATTTTTGTGTCCTGATTACGTAACGCTGTTACATGTAATCTGTTACTCCCCAACCCTGGATACCAGTCCATGGCCCAGGGGTTGGGAACCACTGACATACAGTTTAGTGTCATAGAGGACGAACAAGCTACACTCGTGCTTTGTGTCACTGTTGGATATGCACTTATGACTCTAGTAATGATGAGGGTAGTGCAGAGATAATTAATGTGACGATGACCTTTGACCCTATTACATCCTGCCCTCAGGGATCCCATCACCCTATGACATCACTGGCATGTTGTGATCATGAGGGTGACCTGACCTCTGAGAAGGAGATGATGCAGAAGAATGAGCCTTGGTCTTGTAAATTATGACAATCAATCCTGTGAAGCAAAAACGCCTCCAACAATAAAACCTATTCTATTATATCCCAGTACAAGTTCCATTCTATACAGTAAAAACTACATAAAACACCACCAACAAACAATATTATGACGTTATTGGTTTGACCTGAAAATAACTGACCTGGTCCATCACCTATACGACCATAGAATAACTGACCTTGTCCATCACCAATACAACCATAGAGACTCCTGTCACAAACCACTTGGGTGTCCATCACCACAGGTGACCAGGTTTTCTCGTACTGTATGTTGACTGGTTTATCAACTTTTTTTCAGCTAAAGATAGACACATACAGTAAAGCTTTCTGTAAGAGCTGCGATATGTGAGCTGCCTTTGAGGACTGTATGTCCGTCAGGCCTTTGGTTGGAGATGAGATTGATTTCTGACAAAATGCTGAAGTGCTCTTTTCACTTCGAAATACTTCATATTTGAAACCAAGTGCTTCAGTGCTTATTGGTTAAAATTCAAATTCCTCTCATATTTTACAAACCTCTACAAAGCAGAGGAGTTTTTGGAAACTCCACCTAAAAACTGCCCACTCAAAAAGATGTTTTGCATTTATTTACCCCATTCAAATGTCAACAGCTGACTGACTTGTTGAAGCCATTTCACTTAGCAACATCACAGGCCCTTTACCTCTTCCCCAGCATCAGAGGATTTTACATTTTAACAACCCAAGACTATACAGTGCTCTAAAATAGACTTCTCACATTGATAAGGGTAGTACAATTAAAGAACCCACTTATTTTTTGGATACATCATCCCCATATTGCAGGTGGATCTGCAGAGGAAACACTGGACACTAAAATGTTAATGTCAAGGACACAACACCTTACATTTGGTTAATAACCTCAATGTAGAACAAAATTTTCCCATTAACAATTAAAATTATAGGAAATGTTATCTAAATTTGCTTTGTGCGATTGCCTCAAAGCTAATAGGTGTCCACAGATCTCCCTGTGACACACATGTATACGAATAAGCATGATGCATAAGTCAAGAAATAAATGAATAATTACAGTTTATTTTTGCATCTCTGCTTTTGGGGTGACCTGGTTGTTAGTGCATCCTTTATCCCAGCCGAGGAGGAAACAAACTGCTGAGACCATCAGAAAGAGAGATGGAAAAAGAAGGGGGGAGAGAGAGAGAGGGGAACATAGTTGAATCCATCTCTCAGTGCTATCCCTCCCTCTGGGCATTTCCCTGCTGGCACAAGATATGTGGAGACTACAGCATTTTAAAACCTCCACCATGCTGATGAACTGTGTGTGTGTGCGTGTGTTGTCTTTTATTTATGATGTGTGTGTGTGTGTGTGTGTGTATATATAGGATATATATATATACACTGATGTGTTATGTATGAACACCCTATATTTGCACAAGCACAAGATGAGCTTGCAAGTGTGCATCAATTTGTGTGTATATATGAGTGGGTGTATGTTTGCTAATGTTTGTTTCTCTATTTTTGTGTGTAAGCTTGTCTACATGTGTGTGTGTGCGTGTGTGTGTGCATGACTCACCGTTCTCCTCACCAGATGCTTCACAGCCATCTTCATCATCACAGTCATCTCCGCTGCCTCTCTCTGTCTGCGCGCTCCCTCCCTCCTCTTCCTCCAACTTTCCTCTGGTTTTACTTGCCCAGCCGAGCTCCACTAACAGCTCCTACATAAAACACACACACATACAAATGTCCATACAAATTACAATTCAATACACACACAAACACTCATATTTACATAGTACATTTATGGTCACCAAAGGATGAATCTTAAAGTCTTTAGTGATCCCCTGATTTTTCCTTTAGTGCTGCCATGAGGTTGGCATGTGGTTTTGACTAAAATGACTATTAGATGGATTGCCGTTAACAGACATTGAAGTCCGCCTCAAGATAAACTGTTATCACTTTGGTGAGCCACTGACTTCTCATCTAGCACATTTATCAGGTCAAAATTGCAATTTGTCTAATACTTTGGTCAGTTACTAAATAAATGCAAAACTAATAATATTCCTATCAGCCTCAGCTGTACTTTGTGTGTAGTGCTAATTAGGTAATTTCAGCACGCTAAAAGGCTTAACTGAGATTGTGAACGTGGTAAATATTACTGGTGAAACATCAGCACGTCACTGTAAGCATGTTGTCATGCTGGTGTTAGCATTCAGCTCAAAGCACTACTATGCCTATGTATAGCCTCACAGAGCTGCTAACGAGGCTATAGCCTAGACTGAGTTTACATTTTAGGCATTTAGCTGACCTTAGAATGATTTACAGTGAATGCCAAGAAGAATAAACTCACAAATCACAAACATTGCAAACATGATGTTTTCTGTTATATTTTGCCACCTAAAGGTACCGAATGGCCACAAAAACGTCCCTGCACAAACACAGAAAAATGTAAAAAAATAATAATAATAAAGAACAAGAAAAAAACCACAAACACACACACACACACACACACACACACACACACACGTCAGAGATCAGACTAAAGGGTAATTGAGGCCATTCTGTCTCTGCGTAAATCCATATTATCTACTGGTCAGTCACAGCGTTGATGCTGTGGCATGTTGCATAATTGTGATGCTGGGTGAAAACCTTATGTCTCAACTAATGATGGAAAGAAAAACATCCAGCCAGTTTTTAAGTCAGATATTGGGTTTTGGCCTTGTTTCAATCAATGGTTGTAGTTTAATTAACTCATAAAAGGACAACACAAACTTTTTGTTCAAGTAAGAAACTATGTAACACCAAAATTGGAGATTTCACATTTAACAGTGACAGGAACATATAATTAGTTCACAGTATGATAAATGTGTATTGTGTATTGAGTTAAGGTGGGTAATATATGAATTCCAGCTGAGGACAGAGATAAGAAAGAGCCACTAGTTTTAAAAAACAAAAAGATATATTGTGCTGACATTTTATGTTATTTCCCCTTAAGATAACATTTCTATATTAGATTTCAACATCTATCATAATGATTTATATTATGTTACACTGGTAAAATTTCTGGCAAATTAAATACTATAAAGGCCAAACTGAGAGCCAACTGTTTTGGATTTTCTATTCATTGTCATTGTCATGCAGGGTAAGAGTAGTTTTAAAATTGCTTCCCCGCCTAAGATGCTTATTGCTTGACAGCCAAAATCCATTTTACTTTCTAGTTTTAAAAAATGTCTTATGATATGATAATGATATGCTATGACATGATAATTATTATATTTGGCCTTGCAAATAAAATATTATAAAAATAATAATAATCCTTATTTGTAGAGCACTTTTCAAAAACAAGTTACAAAGTGCTTTAACAAGTGTAAAGAATAATACAAAAAAAAAAAGATAAGAGCATGAAAAATTAATATAAATTAGTAAAATACAATAAAATAAAAGGGATAAAATAAAGTCAAATAAGATCGGGAAAGGCTCTCCTATAAAAGTATGTTTTAAGAAGGGACTTAAAAGAGTTCACTGACTCAGCCGACCTGATTTCCTCGGGCAGGCTGTTCCAGAGCCTCGGGGCCCTGACAGCAAACGCTCTGTCCCCTTTAGTTTTCAGTGGAGACTCTGGAACAGACAACAGACCTCTGCCCGAGGATCTCAAGGTACGTGCTGGTGTGTATGGGACTAAAAGTTCAGAAATATAACAAGGCGAGAGGCCATGAAGAGCTTTAAAAGTGATCAATAGAATTTTAAAGTCAATTCTAAAACATACTGGGAGCCAGTGTAATGAAGCTAAAATAGGAGTAATGTGGTCATATTTCTTTGTTCTGGTTAAAAGCCTGGCAGCTGAGTTCTGGACAGTCTGGAGTCAATCAATAGATTTTTGGGTTAAACAGGTGAAAAGGCTGTTGCAATAATCCAGGCGTGATGAGACGAAGGTGTGTAAAATGGTCTCGGTGTCCTTAAAAGTTAACATAGATCGAATTTTAGCTATATTTCTAAGTTGATAAAAACATGATTGAACAAGCTTTTTGGTGTGCTGCTCGAAATTTAAATTACTATCAAACCAAACACCAAGATTCTTTGCCACAGGCTTAATGTGATTTACTAGGGAACCAGCAGATGGCAGTATTTGATTTGCCATCTGCTGAGACCCAATGACCAGGATTTCTGTTTTGTCTGAGTTCAGCTGGAGGAAATTATTTGACATCCATTTTTTAACTTCACAAAGGCAATTGTTAAGTGAACTCAGCATTCCAGGGTCTGTGGATCTGACGGGCAAGTATATTTGTGTGTCATCAGCATAAATATGAAAAGAAATGCCATGTTTATGGATAATATGTCCAAGGGGAAGCAGATACAAGGAAAACAAAATGGGTCCTAAGACCGACCCCTGAGGCACACCATATTTAACTGTACAGAATGAGGAGACACAGTTGTTTACAGACACACAAAACTTCCTATTTGACAGGTAGGATGAAAACCATTCTAGGGCAGTACCAGAGATCCCCACCCAGTGCCTCAGTCTGTCTAACATGATGTTGTGATCAATGGTGTCAAAAGCAGCGCTAAGGTCCAGGAGTACAAGGACTGAGCACATACCTTCATCAGCAGACATTAAAAGGTCATTGGTGACTTTAAGCAAGGCAGTCTCAGTGCTGTGGTACTTCCTAAAACCAGACTGAAACTCAAATAATTTTTTATTTTCCAGTACAGTGAGCAGCTGTTTGGACACAATTCTTTCTAGAATCTTTGCAATAAAAGGCAGTTTTGAAATTGGTCTAAAATTATGTGGGAGGGAGGGATCTAAACCAGGTTTCTTTAAAAGTGGGTTCACGCAAGCCGTTTTAAAATAATCAGGGACACAACCAGTAGATAGGGAGCTGTTGAAAATCAAATGGGGCCCAACAGAATCTATTACTTTCAGTAAAAATTTTGTAGGTATTACATCAAGTGGGCTGGAGGACACTCTCATTTGTGATACTGTTTTTAAAAGCTCAGACAAGTCGATGGGATAAAACTGGTTAAAACTCTCTTGTTGCTGGTGAGGAACCTCTGAGTAAGAGGCAGTGGGGGTAATAGAGGCTCTGATTGACACCACCTTATTGGTAAAATAAGATAAAAACAATTCACTATTCTATTTAACACAAGAGCATATGATATAAGCTGTTACTATATATTGTGGTGCACCATGTGATATGCACATACTGACTGAGTAAGCAAATTCTATACATTTTTATCTTTACAGTTTGACCCTGAATAAGTGCAGTAGTAGACCTACACATTATTATACTGCACTATACATGTATATTGATTGACTGCAACAATGATAACATGTAAAAAGACTTCTGTGTGCTTTACAAACGGGGCTGTAACTTGCTTTTATTAATATTAATGTGCATTTTATTTAAACCTACACTGTTGCTTCATATTTGCAGTAAGCAATCAAAAAGTGGAAGTTATGTATATTATTGTATTTTTGTTTTAAATTTTTTTAAAATAGCAATTGGTGATATTCTCTACCTATGTTTTGGGGTGAGATTCCCTGCTAGATAGATGCGAGTTGGATACATAAAGAGGGACATCTGGCCTCCACTGTACAGTAGGCAATGGGCAGCAGTGGAAACAAGGGGAACCAAGGTTATTATATGACAGCATGTCCGAAGGGACGTGCAGACAGACTCCACTCTGTGTAGTGATTCACCATCATGTCATCGGACTGCAAATGAGGGCTGAGGGAGGACAAAAATACATTACAGCAATGTTTCCACCAGGACTGTGTTTTCTTAGTCATGTGGAAAGGAATATATACAGAATTTAGGTCATATGGTAATAAAACTCCAGTGAAACCAATAGGCCTACAAGTAAAATTATTCAAGGGTGGCAGCTCAAGAGTGATCTGTCCTATCCAATCTGAATTTAAAATTACAGATAGTGTTGGTGAGGACTTTTGGTCTTATCTTTTTTTCTTTAGCATTTTACAAAAATTATGAATGATGAAACAGGAACTTGATCTCCTGAATGAAATTCAGACATGCCAAACCCCCTACTTTCTATATTGTCACTGACTGTCATGGATTGGATGTAGACTGCTACATGATCCACCAATATAAATGTCATTCCTGTGGATACTGGGTGAGACCAAGGCAGAGCAGAAAGAGCAGTCTCTTAATGAAGCCATCCTTTGTTGTGTTGCCATCTGCTGTCACTTAAGAAACAAAGTGGATGAGTAGGGGTGGGACCACTGGCTGAGCATGTACATACACATTTTAATTGCAAGGATAAGCGAGCGGTTACACAAATAGAATCCTATTAGAGGGCAAAGACTGTGTGAAACACAGCCCACTGCTGCAGAGGTCTAATTAACAGGTAATACACAATTGGGACAGAAAGATAAGAAGAGACTGAAAGAAAGAAAGACAGACCTCCAAAACACGGATGATGAAATAATTAAAATTCCAAGGATGCTTCTTTGACACGCTTCATATTTTGTTCCTGCTCTCATCCTAGCTGTGTGAGTGTGTAAACGGCACACATGACAGGCTCTAATAATTATTCATATGTGTGTGCCTCAGATAGAGAAAGCACTGGGGCAGCTAACATGAAAGACGCAAAGCCCGGACCCCAAAGGTGACTTTAAACTTGTTCAAAGGACAATAACAGTTCGCAGTGTGTACTCACACATAGGGTTTGTTTGTGTACACAGACTTGAATTTCTCTCAATTTATCAAAAATATGGAAATACTGAAATACTGGAGGTGAGAATTGTTTGAAATTCAGATGAGCGGTGTAACATTATACTTTTCTTTTTAGTTCATGTTGTGGCCTGATCACATTTAACCACCATCCATCCATGGAGCATGTGTTACAAATCCAAAAACATGTATCTAAAAGTGTGTGTTGGTGTGCATTTGTTCATGGTAGAAGATTCAGTGTTCTGGACATGTACAGGTTAGACAGAATTCACAGGCCTGAGAGAGTGGATCTCAAACATAAAAGGATTACATGGTGCATGTGTGGTGTGTGTTTTGTATATGGCGAGGGAGATGCTGACTTGCATTTTCCCCATGTAAATGCAAAATGATTAATGGACTCACCACCAAAATTAGATGGAGCACAGAAAAAGCTTCAACAGCAAAAAGAGAAAAATAACCCTTAGCATGTCCCATCCCATGATTTCCCATGAATATTCCATAAACACCAACAACACTTACATTAACAGAATTGATCTGGTTTTCTTCACAAACTACATTTTCCAGTCTTGACCTTATTATTACACAGTCAGTCCTGCTGGTGTAGGTTTTGATTTATAGTTCAACGTCCGATTTTATCCATTGATATCACCACAGCAATACTACACTGATGTATCATTCATGATCAGGCCATACTGTGCTTTAATTATATTGCTGACACCAACTGTCTGCCTTGTTTCATTCAATTGGTACTGAATTTGGAACTATTCCATATTGTCACCGTATTTACGTTGTTTCACTTTGATAGTGAGCTGGAAGTTATGGTGAGCAGAAGGTCTGCAGTGTAGACGCCTTTACCATGTGGAGCCTGTGTATGCAACCCCTTAATGCAGAAGTATCAATCCAATTGAAAAGCATACACTCTGAAATCAGTTTAATGGTTATGGCTAAAAGGAATATTACTGTAAATGATGATCCTCTACTATTATCAACAAATTGCATGAAAAGACCAGACTGAATGAATGAATTGATCCCCATCTTGCCAAAGCCTGATATATTTTATTCATCTTTGCCCAACACCTCCATTATTGATCAAATTTGTTTTTAAAACATCAATGAGCCACACTTTTGCCCTGGGTGACATTTAAAAATATAGAATATTCATAGTTTTCACGTGACGTCACATTCCAAGGAAAACGCTCCCTTGGAGGACAAAAAAACCCCAAAAAGCGTTATTTTCCGCTGCCTGCCAACCAGGAAGCAAGTGATACACTGTTACTTTGAGTTTGTTACTTTTGCGTTGCCAAAATGCTGGATGGTTGTTGTGCTGTCGGATGCACCAATCGAGGAGGAGACAAGCCTGGGCTGTGTTGGTAGGTGAGACATTACCGCAGTCGAGCTGTGGCAGGGACCTGCCGGTTTTTAATGGTAGAAATGCCGCAGCGGATGCTGTAACGTTATTAGGGCTGTACATAACGATTACCACGCATATCACATGACTGAAAACTATGAAAAGCCAGCTTCAATATTTAATGCCTGACATGCTGTTCCTCTATTTTTTCTTTGGTTGTTTGTTAGGTTACTGTTCCCCATTATGTGTTTACTTGTCTGGCTTCCTGTCTTACTGTCTCTTAAGTGTCTCAAACACAATAACCTTGATGTATGATTTTATGGGATCTTATTTATATGGTTTTATGAATTATCCATGCAAATCATATGACCATATTACCATGCTGTCCAGCTTTGAAAGTGCTACATGAATCCAGATTAATTGTTGAATTAATTAATTCATTATTGCATGTTATTATCTACATTCCCATTAGAGTGCTGACATTTAAATTTATTGGATTAAGCAGTGTCTCACACATGAGGCGATAACAGATGATTGAGAGTCAGATGAAGATGAGGACACATAACACACACCCACACACACAGACACATACACAGGCCCCTGCAGCCAGTTTTAGCAACTGCATATCACACATACATCACACTTTGAAGAAACACCAAGATGTGAAGAAAGGTCATGGGATCCCCAAAAACAATAGGAGTCATCTTTTAGGAAACCATTCATTTGCAAGATATTACATACATAGATAGGGATATTAAGGATCAACACCTTGTCATGGGCCAATGTATTGGTTAAGGTGGAATTCAAAACAAATGGTGGCACAAGATGATAGGCCATGAGGTCACCAAAAAAAATCAAGAATCGTCATCTGGGGACCACAATCATCAATCAATTTTATACAATCAAGACATCAATATCTCAATGAAAGCAAGCAAAATTATTACATGGTTTGAGAATACGAAATAGTGAGAAAGGTGTGCCAACTATTTTTATTTTCACGTGTACCTGTGTTAGCTGCTCCAGCCGCTGTTTCGCCCCCTTCAGGACAGGATCTGTATTACGGGCCGTCATCTCTGGGTTCTCCCTTTGGGCTTTTAAACTGCTGCCCACCACACGACCTGCATAACTACAGAAAGACATAACAAGAGAGAGACATACAGTACTTTCTGTTCCAGTTCTGAGTGTGTGCTGATCTCCTGCCCCAGTTTTCGCACAGTCACTATACTAATGTGTTCAGTCAGAGTGTAGTGATTCACTTCATGTGCAGACACACACACACACACACACACACACACAGTAAAATGTGTTTATTCATGGCAAAAAAACATAGAAACAGACTTTTATTCAGCAGAGGAGTCACTTGAGGCAAGTACGGTGACATGAGTTAATCTTCTGGCAGTACAGCCAGTACAGCTGGTGATTTTGTACAAAATTATAAACGCAACACTTTTGTTTTTGCCCCCATTCATCATGAGCTGAACTCCAAGATCTAAGACTTTCTCTACACAAAAGCCCTATTTCTCTCAAATATTGTTCACAAATCTGTCAAAATCTGCGTTAGTGAGCACTTCTCCTTTGCCGAGATAATCCATCCACTTTACAGGTGTGGCATATCAAGATGCTGATCAGACAGCATGGGTATTGCACAGGTGTGCCTTAGGCTGGCCACAATAAAAGGCTACTTGGCCACAAATGACAAATTGGGTAGAGTGGCCTGCATGTGGTAAATGAATGTCATCACTAAGATTGATCCTTGATCATTTTGCATATTGGTGTTTCTGTAGTGGTCTATGAGCAAGTATCACATCATTTTGTCTGTGTAGGGGGTTGCAGTGGGTGGATCAAAATGAAGATGAAGTGAGAGAAAAGAAAAGAGAAGAAACAACAGTTCATGAGTCATATTTTTCCAAGTCTCCAAGTTCCAAACCAGCTTTCTTAGCTAATACAATCAGCAACCAACTCAGTAACCACTGAGTCCACACCCTCAAAAACACAAACACACACTGGCTATGGCAACAAGGGAAAAGGATTGTGGGAACCAGAGAGGAGACACATGGTAGATGTCAACCAAATCTAAAAAAGACGACTTGACTAATGCCAAGAGATGGTGTGGTGGTGAAGACCCCAGCCACTGGAGCCATGCTAACCCTGCTAGTCTGGAATTAGATTCCACCAGAAAATTTTGTTTGATGCACAAAGTCTCAAAGATTTGTTTTATACTCATGCAGATTATGTTTTCATGCATATATTTTTCCTGTAGTAATTAAGTCAACGTCTTTTTGTCTTGGAGCCAGTTTTGAGCAAGTTGACATTAAATATGGAGCCAATCGCAAACAACATCAACAGATCAAGAGCTGCATGTTTAATTTAAGAGATGACGAGACTACAGAGCCTCATGGGAAAATTAGGTCATTAGAGAGGCAAAAATAATATGACGCAGTGGGAGAATAGACTACAGCACATTAATGATAATAAATAGAATAGAACAGAAAGGGAACTATGTAAAATAAATGAAACCTTATACTGCCGACACTCTCAACATATTCAGTAGCCTATAGTAGGTATGGGAAAACATAATTACTACCCGTTTTGCTCTTATGTTTCACGATGAGATTCATTATTACAGTTACAGTGTTTCTGCTAAAAATACAAAGAGGATTACTGGAGAAACTCTGCATTGTAAATGATTTCAGAAAAAGCAATTGATAAGTGTCTGTGTGACTGTAACGTGTACATAAATTAGTGGGAGCACCATTTCAGTGTGCAAATACTACTAACATTTTTTTGGTTTGAAGTTGGATTTATGGTTGACACAAGAGGTTAACAGATGTTCTGCCATAGGACTCTGGCGCATAAATTCTGATTTATAGTTCAGCATCAGACATTCAATACTAGAGAGATGTCCTGTCTGTGATCAGGTATTGCTGTGTTTACATTCGTTACTTTGTGATATGACCTATGGTGATAAGGTAAACTTACTACTTTTACTTACTACTTACTTACGTTCACTAAATATGAGATTACAGTTTTTTTGAGGAGGCGAGTATCAGCCATTCTGGAGCCTTTGGTGAAGCTACAGCAGCTACTGAAAACATTACACTACACAAAAGATGTTCTGTACGCCCCGTCTTCTGATGTGCTTGACAGGCTTGCAATAGGCTACAATGAACCAACCTGTGAAGGATCTGATATCTGTAATTTCTGCGTACTTAGTCCTGCAACGAACACTGTGTGTAAACTGGAGCAGTGAGTTGATTTGTTAGAGGGTAGTCCATTTACATGTTTTCTCAAATCCTTTGATCTTAACATGTTCCAGAGGACGATATCCGCGCTGCGCAAATCAAAGTGAGTAATGATAAATCCAGAAAGGCTGATTTAAGTCTAAAGTTAGCTGACTTCATGAGACAGACAATTTCTCAATGATCTTTTTTGTATAAAACGGATGATCATGATGTTATGCTAACATCTTATTTCTGTTGTCTTTTTCCTACGGTACATCCCATCTAATCTCTGTTGGAACTGAACTAATTTGACTGCCTTCAGTATTGTTGAGTTCAATTCAAATGAATGAGTAGATTTAAATTCAGCACCAATGTAATGAATGGTCAGTGTTTTTTTATTGGCCAAATGCAATTTATACACAGTACACTGCACACAGAGTTTGTTCTCTGCATTTAACCCATCCTAATTAGGAACAGTAGGCAGCCATTGTGTAGCACTGGGTAGCAGTTAGGGGTTCATGGCCTTGCTTAAGGGCACCTTCGGCAGTGGCCCAATCTTTTGCTTTCATCAATTGGTATATTTTTGTTTGACAAAAAGACATACGGTAGGGCTCACAGTATTCTGTTCAAAGGATGCGAAAATTACAGAACATCATTCTGTTCAATAACCTGGAAATATCATTTGATGTTATGCTAACATCTTATTTCTGTTGTCTTTTTCAGCTATAACTGTAACCTTTAAAGATACATAGTTAAACACGGTGGTCCAACCTACCTGATGTTTCTACTGGGATTATTTTATCTACTGTGTTGCTTTGCTAGCGTCTTTGATACACCAAATCTACCTGTGGCTCAACAGGTAAATTAGGTCTCCAGCCTAAGGTTAGTTAAAGTGTTGTTGTTAATGACATATAAAAGCATAAAACATGCATTTTAGATGAATGTGATGTATACACTTTAAAACATCATGAAAAACATTCAATATATTGCTGCCATTTAATTGTATGTACGTGAGGGGTTTTCTACCTCGAAGTTATTACAAACAAAAGGAACATTTCAAAACTGTCACCATGGAAATTACTTACATTGATTAAAAAAATGCACCAGTGAACAGCAAACACCTACGGTACATCCCATCTAATCTCTGTTGGAACTGAAATCTGCTGTTGCTGCAAGTCTGGGATGAGACAGTTTAGTTGATAAAAACAGGATATGATGCTACATGTATCAACACGTGCAAAACAGAATGACTGAGTATCTTATGTAATAACAGGATATTGGGCTACATGTGATGAAAGGTTTAGTAAACCCCCCTAACTGATTTATAAAATGCAAGGCCATAGAAAAGGCTATGAGAGAAAAGAGGAGTGGAAAAGGACAGAAAAGGAGAAGGGTGAGGAGGGAGGATGTCAACATCTCACAAATATTCTGGCATATTCATGTTTTAAATTTCCTCTTTATTAAAGGTAGAAATGTGTGTCTTCATTAGTAACAATGAAGCCGTGAATGACAGACAATTGATTTGACCTTAATTTAGACAAGGTTGGCTGAGCATAGCTCTTCTTTTACCACAACACCCCGTTTACAATTACACTAAGAAATATAGTAATTAATATAAATAGTTATTAAAGCATCACAGGCAGATATTGTGTATGGCTTTGGAGTTACAGAGTGGAATAAAGTGTTTGGGTCTTTAAGTGTCTTTGCATTGCACCAGTGCACCCGCAATACAGTGGTCATCCCTTCCAGAGCAAAGACACAGCAGTGAAAAGCTGAAAAGGGGACAGAGACCCAGAGTTGGCTGTATGCATCTATGTGTTGTTTGTAGGAGGAGACATTCTTATAATACGCCAGCAACATCTGCTGAAAGCTGAACAGATATCATTCTCACTTAATGCTTAACAGACATCAGATTTACTGAGGCTGCAGGTTAAGAGGTGGTGGCTTTATTTATTTTAATTTGACTGCCTTCCAGTATTGTTGAGTTCAATTCAAAGGAATGAGTAGATTTAAATTCAGCACCAATGTAATGAATGGTCAGTGTTTTTTTATTGGCCAAATGCAATTTATACACAGTACACTGCACACAGAGTTTGTTCTCTGCATTTAACCCATCCTAATTAGGAGCAGTGGGCAGCCATTGTGTAGCACCTGGGTAGCAGTTAGGGGTTCATGGCCTTGCTTAAGGGCACCTTCGGCAGTGGCCCAATCTTTTGCTTTTATCAATTTGGTATATTTTTGTTCGACAAAAAGACATACGGTAGGGCTCACAGTATTCTGTTCAAAGGATGCTAAAATTACAGAACATCATTCTGTTCAATAACCTGGAAATATCATTTGCCAAATGTGTAAATCTTCATCAGTTTCAGTAATTAATCACACCTTGTGGATTGTGCTTTATATTTAGGTGGAGAAGAAGGTATCAATAGCATTTGCACACCTAAAGCATTTTCTCATGTCTAATACCCGCTGTGCTGCTGAATGTATTGGAATCTGCCAGTGCTATGAATGAGCTATTGGCCAGATTAAAGGCTGTCGGGATTTTCTGTCTTTGACACCAGATGATAATATTGCAGCAAGTGTGCAGCAGACGACACAGCGAGGTGTGACTGTGAGTGACACTTAATAAGATATGGAGAACGACAGACATAAATCACCAGCACCGTAATGACAAAGCTGCTCTGCTGTTGCCCTCAGTTACTGCATGGTTGATAACTGTAACACACCGAGATCCATTAGTTTTAACCTTGCGGCACATGTTTAAAGCGTCTGTGGCATGCACATAAACACACACACTCACTCACAGTGAAAATGACATTACCTGAGATAGTGATCTGATCTGAGGGGGGTGTGTAATTATAAGAGTCACAACCTCAATTGTAAATCTAGCTGCATTCCTGTAGAG